CTCGGATCCCGCGCGGGGATGAAACTGAGAGCCGAGGGCTCAAGGGACTGGGAAGAGGCGCAGAGCCGTGCAGCTGGTGCTTCCCCAACACAGTTCCCATCCCTGTGTCAGATGGGAACAGAATAGATTCACAGAACAGTTTGGGTGGGAAGGGACCTTAAAGCCCCCCCAGTGCCACCCCCTGCCATGGGCAGGGACCCCTCCCACTAGCCCAGGTTGCCCAAAGCCTCATCCAGCCTGGCCTTGAACCCCTCCAGGGATGGGGCATCCACAGCTTCTCTGGGCACCCTGGGCCACTGCCTCACCCCCCGCACAGGAAAACATTTCTTCCTCACATCTCATCTCCATCTCCCCTCTTGCAGCTTCAAACCGTTCCCCCTGGTCCTGTTCCTGCACCCCCTGATCCAGAGCCCCCCCAGCTCTCCTGGAGCCCCCTTTGAACAGAACAGAAAGAACAGTTATACACACGTGGATCGTATTTTCTGCTGGATAATGTCATACCAATGATCATATGGGTGACAGCAAAAGAAACTCCTGGATGACAGCAAAAGAAACTCCTGCATCAATGCTTGAGACAGAAGAACAGCCGTGTCAGCTCAGGCTGACTGCGCGTCTGAGGCAGTCTCTGCCTGCCACGATCTTTATTTAAAGTTTAGGTGATGCAGTTTTTGGCAGAAAGCTATGTATTTACACTGTGTGCAAACCAGGTAGTTTCTGGACAAAAGTGTAGTGGAAACAAACTTACCTTACACATTTACTTCACACATCTAGGCATTGCACTTAAGAAATCACACTTGCTGAGGAGCACATACAATGTTTTTGATGGGAAAAAGGAAATAAATGTGTTTTTTTTCCCATTATGCTGTATAGCCAAGAAGAAACCATTTAGTTGTTTGTATCGTCTGTGTTTTGCAAGAGGAAGTGGTCCCTGAAGGGATGAGCAGGGAGCTGAGGGGGCTATTCCAGATGCAGCTGCGCATCCGCAAGGCTGCAGCTCCCGCAGCCCCTTGGCAAGGGCGCAGTTTTCTTCTCACTTCTTGTTTTTCAGTCTCATTTAATGGCTTATGTCACTTCTGTCTCTCCCCGTGCTCTGAACTGGAAGCTGGTTCACAAGGAGTCCAGATCTGCATTTTTGAGTTCTTCAACTCTGAAACAGGACCTAGAATCTCCTGTAAAGAGTTGAGCTGTAAAAGGTCGTTATAATGGACCAGATAAGGTAACCAGTTATAAATCCCATCATCCTAAACCAGCGGATTGAATTCTTTTACCAGTTCTCGCACCTGTGGAAGGGCTTATCCTGGCCACTCTTAAGGTATCAGAGTTTGTGGTCTGAAGCCGTGTGTTTTATCTACAGACTCCTTGGTCCAAAGCAGGGAAGCTGAAATACAGTCCTTGGGCTGTGGGTTTTGTTTCTTCAGTGCTTTTTTCAGTTGATTTTAGGATCAGCATAACTGCATTTTCTAATGAAGAATTGCAGAGGTTTGTACCATGAGCTTGTGGTTTAATAGTTTACTGTAAATAGATTGAAAATTTTTGTCCTGGACATTTTTGTTGTTCCCAAGAAGGATTAATTGAAATCTGCAGATGGTGCCTGATAGCCAGTTTCACATTTTATGATCAAGAACCTGTGTTAGAAACAAAAACCTGTTAGTGTATTGGCTTGACACAGCTATTTGCCAGGCTTTGCAGTTGCGTAGATGTAGGGTCTGATGGGATGAGGTAGGGACAAGACAATGCTACTTTGCAATTTCTTAATTCAATTTAGGAAATAAATTTACAAAACCAAAAACAATTTACAGAAATAATAATTTACAGCCTCAATCCATTTTTCTACTCTCCAAAAATCACTGCACACTCCAGGCACGCAGAGGAATAAAGTGTCAGGACAAACTGACCTTCAGGAGAGCAGAGCCACCCAAGGTTCTCTGCGTGAATCCCTCTGAGGCTGGATTCACAGGGACTCGGGAGCTGGGTTTCAGCACAGAGCCCACACTGAGCTCTGCTCCTTCCTGCAACCTGGGGGAACTGCTACAGAGAAACCTTCTCTGTCCTTTACCCCCTGGCTGCTTGGGGGCTGCCCCGTGGCCCCTCTGCAGGGGCTCTCGTTAAGGCTGAGCTAATCACCAAGCTGGATGTGGTGGTGTTTGTCCGCAGCCGTCCGAACACGCCTGCCTCTGGCAGAGTTCTGGGGGTCCTGCATGGCAGCGTGGTGGCTGCACAGCTGGAGCAGAGGAGGCAGCAGAAGGAACCAGACGGGACTTGTAGAATGCTGAGTCTCATCGTCGCGTGTGGGATATGATGCCCCTGGGTAACCAAAAGCAGATTGTGCTTCATTTTCCTCTTTTCTCCCAGGGGAAGTGTTGTACAGCACCATCTCTCAAAAATGTGCTTTGTACGTAGGTGATTCTCAGGTCCTTGAGGGGTTTGGTTTTGTTTTTCTGCCTCTTGTTTCCAGCTACACTAGGAGCTGTCTTTGGCGTAACGACGTGCCTCAGTGCCCAGATCCGAGAGGAGCCAGACGATCCCTTGAACTATTTCATAGGAGGCTGTGCAACAGGAGCTGTCTTAGGTGCAAGAGGTAAGTGTGGATAACGCCTGCAAAGAAATGAGCCCTCTCTGTTTTTAGAAACCTTTCTATTAGGGAGAAATGCAAAATAATCCTGATGTCAGACCCATTTGGGAAAGATCTCAGCATGTGAGTTCCATTTCATGGCAGTTTCATTGATGCTGTTGTACAGGTCTGGGAGGAGACCAGAGAGAGGAGACCCAGTACTGCCAATTCTAACTACCAGTTATAACTTGAAATTGCAGGGTATGAAAAGCATAACTGTGGCAACAAACCTGATTTATTTTGCATGGAAAATGCAATCTAACATCTGCCTTGTGAATTCTTCATGAACTCTGAGAGACAAGCTGTACTTTGCTGCTGTTGCCCTGTGGCATCTTGCCAGGCTAGAGCAGCTCCTGCAGATACTCCACGGCTCTGTCTTCTCTAGGCACTTCCAGGCTCAGTGTTGGAGATGGGAGGGATTTATTTAAGTTGTAATTGTGGTGAAACAGAATTTATCCGTACTGTCCCTAGTTGCTGAGCTGATGAGAGTTCAAAGCAGTGATTGTCATTTTCGTCACTGAAATAAGCAGTTTAAGGTTGCCTATATAAGGAGATGGGAGAGTGGATTATAGAAATTGGTATTTCAAACTGCAAGCTACAAGCATGAGAAAACTTCATTTAAGAGAAGATCACTTTCCTGATATCTCTTGGCCAACAACATTACTGATGGTCAAGGGACTGTGAGGAGCTCATGGAAAAACTGCAGTCTGTCAAGCTCTGCTGTTAGCCCTTGTGCCCCAACAGATCTTTTATGATTGGGTTTGTTTTTTCCAGCTCACAGTTACATGACGGGTACCACTGCGTGTTTGGGGTTTGGAATTACCGCTGCGCTTTTCAAGATCGGTAACAAGGAGGGCTGGAGGCTGGCGGGACCTCCCAAGCTGTAAATGTCACCTTTCCTCCCTGTAAGCTGATGTCTGAATGCTGTACGTAATGAGATGTTGTGTTAATAAAGATACTGTCACATTAGCAGTTGCCACAAACTTTTGACATCATCCGGCTGTTTGCGGTGTTGGGGCTGAGGTGCAGAAAAGCTGGAGCTGTTGGAGAGGAAGCTTCGATCTGCTCCTGCACAAGTCACTCTGTGTCCGTGTGGCTGTATTGCACCCACATGCTTGAGGGGTACAATTACCATTTTTAGTCTGGTCTTTTAGGAGTTGTTCTTGCAGTTTTGAGTGGGTTCTGCAGGATTTTTTGGCAAGGATTGGGATTGCACCACACTGAGACCATCAGTAAGGGTTTGGAGTCAAAACTTTGAAGAGGCGCTTGGCTCTAGGTTGAGGGTTAGGAATCTGGGGTGGGGGAAGGAGGTGTAAATTGCCCACGGGGTGTTTGGAAACCTGGGGACTTCCTCTGACAGGCATTTAAGGAAGTCTGGAGCCCACAACTTCAGAATTGGGGAATAGCTGAGATGGGAAGGGTCCCGTGGAGATCTTCCTACTCAAAGTTGGAGCAGGTTGCTCGGGGCTGTGTCCAGTTAAATTTTCTGTGTGCAAATTGAAGCATGTCCAGCAAAGCCACCAAGAAGGTGTCAAAGGTCGAGGCAGAGGAGGCACAAGGGGAACCGCGTCATTCAGCCTGGAGAAAAGAAGGCTGATGTGATTCCATTTTTTTCACAGCTTAATGGGTACAGAAGAGGCAGGCTCAGGTGCTTAGTAAAGGATGAGAAATAACAAGCACAATCTGCAGAAGGGAAATTCCAACTAGATAGAAGAGAAAAAAACCAGTTGGAGTGGATAAGTGCTGGCAGATGGACTTGGAAAGGCTGTGAAATTGTAATCTTTGGGGACACAGAATTCAACCAGACACGTGGGGATATGGGGGTGCAGGGATGGGACATTTGGGGACTGGGATGTGGGCACCAGGGGAGGCAGGGATGTGGGGCAGGGGAACACGGGGAGGTGTGAGGGGAGGGAACAGGAGACAGGGGAGCCGGATGAGGAGACGGAGGGACCCAAGGACAGCAGAGGAGGGGACAAAGCGACACAAGGGGACACACAGTTCCAGCCATGGCAGGCTGTGCTGCTCCCTGGGGTGTGCTCGCTGTGGGCAGTGGGGTCCCAGCAGGGTGTGGGGTGGTCCTGGGGACGCCTGGGACTGGGCCAAGGGGCCGGTGTCCCATGTGCTTCCTGGAACCTGGGGCACCCCTTGGGTGCAGGGGTCAGTGGGGCGGGGCTCCAGTTCAGGAGCACAATGGGGGGGTGGCAGTGTCACCCCCGTTGGGCTGGGGGAGCGGGGGCGTTGTGTCTCTCCCACCCAAGGGCTTCCGAGGGGAGCCCTGCTTCACCCTGGGCTCCAGAGGTGAGCAAGGTTTGGGGGGGTCTGATGGGCCAGAGACCCCCGGGCAGGACCTGCCCAGGGTAACACGGGGGTTACAGCCCTGCCTGCACCTTCCTGCTGCCTGAGAGGGGAAAAAACTCCCGGCAGCTTCCACCTGCCCTGCTGCCTGTCCTCACGGAACCCGGCTGCCCC